TCACTTCACTTCAAAATATTTTCTTATTTACCTTGGTACTTCTTTTGACCCATGGATCAAAGAAGTTTCTTGTGTTTGAAGATTTTTTTTTTCTGGTTTTGGTTCTCTAGTTAACATTCTGTTATGTTCAGAGAGCACATTCTATTTTCTATTCTTTTAAATTGAACTATTCAAATATGTAGGTTCATGTCTTTCACCAGATATGTAGTGTATTTATCCATTATTTCTTCAAAAATTTTTGCCCCAAGCCCTACCTTCTATGACTTAAGTGATATAAGTATTAGATCTCTTGTTATTGTCCTATAGCTCCTGCACCAAGCTCTGTTTTTTACCCCTCCCCCAACTTTTTTTTCTCTTTATTGTTCAGATTGGATTTCTGTTGATCTGTCTTTATGTTCAATCTGTAACTCAAATGCTGATACTGTATTTAGTCTGTCTAAGTACCATAGTATTTAGTGCATCTAGTATCTAATGCATCTAGTGCATTACAATTTTTTGGTTATTGAATCTTTGCAGTTCTAACATTGTCATTTTCCGCTTTGTGTGTTGTCTTTGCTGAGACTTTCTGTTCCCTTTAAGAGTTCACCCTTTTGGAGAATTTTTATAATGGCTCTATTAAAATCTCTTGTAGTTAGTTTTAATTTTTTTTTGTCATTTAATTTTAACTTTTTAATTTTGTCATTGATGTTAATTGTCTTTTTCTGTGTGTCTTGAGGTTTCTTTCTTTGTACATTGAGTAGTTTTGGATTATATATTAGATGCTTGAATGTTGTATTATGAGACTCAATATTGTTTATGGAAAATGTTGATTTTTTTTTCTTTTCTTTTAAGCAGATAGATTATTTGGTTGGGATCACATGGCAAGTTCTGATTAGCCACCTTTGGGTTGTGGTTGTAATGTCAGTTGTTTCCAAAGCCTTTGTCGTGCCTTCCAGGTCTGTTTTGAGTGTACACCTTCCAGTGGCCAGCTTGGGACTTAGGCAGTGTGATCTTGGTTTATTTCTCAAATTCTTTGAAATGCTTCTTAGGATCAGATCCAAGCAAGTGTTATGCTCAGGAGTGGTGAACCTAGATATTTATATACAATTTTCTAGAGTTACTTTCTTCATGACATCCTGGTATTTTCTATTTCTATGGGCTTGCCTTTTTTCCTCTACAGTGAAAGTTCCTGTTCTAGTGCACACTTCCCACAACTAAATCCATGTCCAAGGCAAAGCAGTGTGAACTTGTGTTGTCTCCTATTCCTTGGGGTTCCTGCTTTGCAGTGGGCAGGAAGGTATTGTAGATGTTGGAAAATAAGTCAAGTTTTATAGTTCCTCTTTTATCAAATATATACTTATATATAGGACTGGCCTTGTTATTTTTTTTTTAACTTTTAAAAGATTTTATATTGGGGTATAGCTGATTAATATTGTTGCATTAGTTTCAGATGAACAGTGGAGGGACTCAGCCATCCATAGGTACATGTATCCATTCTCCCCCAGATTCCTCTCCCATCCAGGATGCCACATAACCAGAGTTCCATGTGCTATGCAGTAGGTCATCCGAAGTATATAGTTGGTTATCCGTTTTAAATATAGCAGTGTGTACAGGCAACCATAAGTTCATTCTCTAAGTCTCTGAATCTCTTTCTTTTTTGTAGGTAAGTTCATTTGTATAATTTTTTTTTTTTTTAGATCCCACATACAAGTCATTGTCGAATGACATTTTTCCTTCTCTGTCTGACTTACATCACTCATTATGACAGTCTTTAGGTCCATCCATATTGCTGCAAATAGCGTTATTTCATTCTTTTTAATGGCTGATACTCCACTGTGTATGTGTACCACATCTTGATCCATTTCTCTGTCAAAGGACATTTAGGTTTTTTTTTTTTTTTTTTTAAATTTATTTATTTATTTATTTTTATCACAACCATAGTGTATCTTTTTTTTTTTTTTTTTTACATGTATTCCCCATCCCGGTCCCCCCTCCCACCTCCCTCTCCACCCAATCCCTCTGGGTCTTCCCAGTGCACCAGGCCCGAGCACTTGTCTCATGCACCCAACCTGGGCTGGTGAACTGTTTCACCCTAGATAATATACGTGTTTCAATGCTGTTCTCTTGAAACATCCCACCCTCGCCTTCTCCCAGAGTCCACAAGTCTGTTATACATAGGAGTCTCTTTTTCTGTTTTGCACATAGGGTTATCGTTACCATCTTTCTAAATTCCATATATATGTGTTAGTATACTGTAATGGTCTTTATCTTTCTGGCTTACTTCGCTCTGTATAATGGGCTCCAGTTTCATCCATCTCATTAGAACTGATTCAAATGAATTCTTTTTAATGGCTGAGTAATATTCCATGGTGTATATGTACCACAGCTTCCTCATCCATTCGTCTGCTGATGGGCATCTAGGTTGCTTCCATGTCCTGGCTATTATAAACAGTGCTGCGATGAACATTAGGGTACACGTGTCTCTTTCAGATCTCAACATCACTCATTATCAGAGAAATGCAAATCAAAACCACAATGAGGTACCATTACACACCAGTCAGGATGGCTGCTATCCAAAAGTCCACAAGCAATAAATGCTGGAGAGGGTGTGGAGAAAAGGGAACCCTCTTACACTGTTGGTGGGAATGCAAATTAGTACAGCCACTATGGAAAACAGTGTGGAGATTTCTTAAAAAGCTGGAAATAGAACTGCCATATGACCCAGCAATCCCACTTCTGGGCATACACACCGAGGAAACCAGATCTGAAAGAGACATTTAGGTTGATTACATATCTTCGCTTTTGTAAACAGTGCTACAGTGAACATTGGGGTGCATGTATCTTTTCAGATCCTGTTTTTCTCCAGATATACGCCCAGGAGTGGGATTGCAGGGTCATATGGTAGATCTGCTTTTAGTTTTTTAAGGAACCTCTATACTATTCTCTTTAGTGGCTGTACCAATTTACAGTCCCACCAACAGTGTAGGAGGGTTTCCTTTTCTCCACATCCTCTCCAACATTTATTATTAGTGGATTTTTTGATGATAGTCATTCTGACTGGTGTGAGGTGATACATCATTGTAGTTCTGACTTGCAGTTCTTTAATAATTAGCTATGTTGAACATCTTTTCATGTGCCTCTTGGTCATCTGTATGTCTTTGGAGAAATTTCTGTTTGGTTCTTCTGCCCATTTGTCAGTTGAGTTGTTTGTTTTGATATTGTTAAGTCTCGTGAGCTGTTTGTAAATTTTGGAGACTAATCCCTTGTTGGTCACATCATTTGCAAATATTTTCTCCTAATCTGTGGGTTGTCTTCTCCTTTTGTTTTTTGTTTCCTTTGCTGTGCAAAAGCTTTAGAGTTTAATTAGGTTCCATTTGTTTATTTTTGTCTTTATTTCCATTATTCTGGGAGTTGGCTCGAAAAGGATATTGCTGCGATTTATGTCAGAGTGTTCTGCCTGTGTTTTCCTCTAGGAGTTTAGTAGTATCTGGTCTCACATTTAGGTCTATAATACACTTTGAGCTTATTTTTGTGTGTGGTGTTAAAGAATGATCTAATTTCTTTCTTTCTTCTTTTTTTTGTCTGTAGCCGTCTGGTTTTTAGGACTGGCTCTGTCTTTACAGTTCAAGGCAGAGATAAACTTTACTAAAATGAGTCTTGTATATTCCTTATTTTTTTAAAAAAACATTTAAAATGTGTTCTGTGAACACTTGTTATTCATTAGGATGATGCATTCTTTCTCAGGTTGAATCCTTAATGTCTATGGCATCACCAATAAAAATGTAATTTATCTCTGCTGAAAATTTGACAAATGCTAATACTTCACTGTCAGTCACTCTCACTTGTTGAGTTTTTCTAAATACTCATTCCTAGGCCCCATCACTAGAGTTTCTGATTCAGTAGGTATATACAGTACCATAAAGAAGAAAATGATCTGTATACTTGTGCCTTTTAGCACTTCTGTTCCAGTGTAGGAGATTGCCGTGTCTGGGAGATTTCCTTCAGGACGGATAGGTGCTATCGTAGTGCTCCTTGAAGGCTGTTGATTCAGTGGGTATCACAGGGCAGCCAGGTACAATCTGAACAAATAAGGTATTGAGCTGTAGTTGTACTGCATTGGTCCAGGTCTAGGTCCCTCACCATCATCCCAGGCATATTCTTTTCTAGTTCATCTTTTTTAAGGTTGTCTGTGAATCATTGAACATTGCCATGTTTTATCTGATTATTCCCAAACTATTTCAGTAAGGGGTAGGACTTAATGATACCCTGTTATTTTTTTTTTAAATTGGGTTTAAGGACAAAAACTTTTAATTTTTTCAATTTTTAAAATTGAGGTATAGTGTATATCTGGTGAAGTGCTTGAGGTGTACCAGTCTTAAGCGTAAAGCTTGTACTTATCACTTGTATGTACCCATGTAACTGCCATACAGAGAGGACATAAAACATTTCCAGTATCTTTATGGGTTATAATGCACTTTACTGTCAATAACTGCTTTTTCCTAAGTCAGCCACTGTTGTGATTTTTAGCACCATAAATTAATTTTACCTCTTCTCAAACTTGATAGAGTCATGCAGTATGTATACTTATGTGTCTATTTTTAATTAAATGTTTTCTGTGGTCAGATCTTTTTGAGTCATTTAATATTATTATTTCTGACTCCTTTGTACTCAAAGCATCAGATCTGATTCAGATCAGATTTAATTTGACTTTTATTTTACATTTTTCCTTGGTGAAGTAATCTTAACATTTTTAAGGAATTGTGCCATATTTCTTTTCCCATTCTAAAACTTTCAGTGGCTTTCTCACCATCAACTTACATAGTGAATGTTCCACAAAATATTCTTTCTTGAACTCTGTTTCCTCTTCTATGTTTGTTTCTACCAGTGCATGGAGGTAAAAAGGAGATTTCTAAAATCTTAATTTATTACCATTCTAGCGTTTGGTCTGGGGTGAGTTCAGGTTGAGCAGAATGTCTGCAGTTAATTGTATTACTCTTGCGTTTTCCTTTTCTTTCTGACAGCATGATGGAAGTGGTTCATTGCATGATGTTCAACTCTCATTGCCATCTAGTCCGGAACCAGAAGATGGTGATCAAATATGCAAGGTACGATGACTAGGTAGTCATGCTGAATTTTAAAAAAAGTTTTTTTATTGCTAAAATTGTAAGGCAGTAATAAAACTTCTAATAATAAATATATTTAAACCTGCAATTTTGTTATCTTGGGTTTTGGTCAGATTTGCTTTTCATTTTTACTCACTTTTTAAGTTAAATTTATATCCCTGTGGTACTTTAATTTGAGTTTATCAGTTGGATAGTCATCTGTCCCTGTATTAATATTGGTATAGGATTCTTTTTAAAAAATTAATTAAATAACTAAATCTTTTTCCCCCAGAATTATGAATAACAATTTAAAATATGACTATCAATAAAAACTAAAACTGTTAATAGGCACTTCTCATATATATATATGTGTGTGTCTATATATAAAATCACAATATTGAAGAACCATTAGCTGAAAATGACATTTTTTTTAATGTTTAAAGATATATAGAATGCAGATGCATTTTGTACTTGAAGGTATGTTTTTTATAGTTCTCATCTTTAGTCTTGTTTTAGTTGAAGGAAGTTCTTTTTGTATCTTCCTGAATCACATATTTATTTCTTAAAGACATACAAGTATTCTTGTCTTTCCTAGTTGCAGGTAAAATTATTGTTTCCTTTCACATTCAGTTTTCAAAGTATTGTAGTCAGTATGTTCTACCTGTCTCTGTAGTAACAGCTTCAAGATATTGGTGGCTTACAGTAACAAAAGTTTATTTCTTTTTGTTTGTTTTTAACAAAAATTTATTTCTTATTATTTCTCATTATGTTGCATTTTGGTTGTAGATTAGTGAGTCTTCATGTTTTTTCTTCTTTCTGGGATTCTGGATGAAGGACATGCTTTTTGTACCTGAGGGAAAGTAGTATTGGCAGAATACATTGGTTGCATGTAACATATGTTGCTTCCAAAACAGGTCAAATGACAAGGCTTGATATTAAGCGTCAGGGAAGCACAGTTTTCTCATAGGATATGGAATGACTTTTGGGGAACAAATTTATGTATAAAACACAAAATCAAAAAATATTGGATAATAGTCACATCTGGTTATCTGATCTTGGCTTTTCAGTGTGTTACCTACCTGTTCTTATATAAATTTCTTCCCATCTCCAGGTTTCCATCCTGTTGTGAGTATAATAATAGGTTTGCAGGAGGACATCTCTTTTTGAAAAACTTACTTGCGTACTCCCTTGAGAGCCATTGATTGAGATGATTTCTGGTTGTCTCTCAGTTGTTTTTGTTTGTTTGTTTGTTTTGTGATTGCTGCTTTAAAAGTAAAATTTGACTTTTTTCTAAATTTTTTTGTGAGAAGTTTGTTACATATAAATAAATTCTTTTTAAAGAAAAAATTGAATTCCAACCTTTTTTGCAGAACTAGTGTCTTTTTTTTTCCATCTTCCTTTAAAGTTTGTCTGTATGCTTAATACTATAAGATAGACATACCATGGATTTATTTCTTGGCCTCAGTGCCTTTCCTTTCAGGCAGATCTTTCCTAGTCTTCCTTCTTTTTGAGGTTAGATGCAGTTTCTCATTGGGCTTCCCAGGTGGTACCAATAGTCAAGAATCTGCCTTCCAGTGTAGGAGATATAAGAGACAGGGTTCAATCCCTGGATCAGGAAGATCTCCTATGTGTAGGAAATGGCAGTCCATTACAGAATTCTTGCTTGGAAAATTCCAAAGACAGAGGAGCCTGGCCACCGGGTCACAAACAGTCAGACACAGCTGAGCACGCATGCATGCAATAGCTCATACTTACTCTTTCTAGTGCACTAGACAGTCCTTCACTTTCATCAGCAAATCTCAGATCTTCTCATTGAAGATGGTTTTGCAGTTCAATTTCAAATGAAACAAATATTGTGACTCATACCATTACAATTTGAGGGCCTAAAATCTCCACTAGACCTGCCATGTCACCAGTCTCTCCTTTATCCCAGGACAGCTCCCTCTCCCATGTCCTGATGAGCTGTTTCAGACATTGACCACTTGTCTCAATCCCTTTCTCAGCCCCTCTTCTCAGCTGCTGTATTTGCCTTGTGTTCATCTTTGCCTTTCTGCCTCCAAACTCTCTGTGTCTGTGTCACTCTGATTTACTTTATTTCATTTACAGGGAAAAGTGACCACTGTGCTGTGGAAGACTTCCCTTTCTTGTTCTCAGCTCTTATCTCCTTCTGCAGTGAAAGACCATACTGTGTCTGCCTCCTCTCTCATGTCTCATTAGTGTGCTTTCTTTACTTCCTCTTCATCCTCACTTTATAAATTTCTGTATGTTACCTATCCTAAATTCAGTAAATCAGATAAACCTTTCCTTGACTCTCTAGTTGTTGTGAAAACCTAGAAAAATACACATTTGGCCCAGCCTTTGTCATAAAAGCTTTATCCCTTGGTTTTTGTGTCAGTTTTTTCTGAATTCCCTTACCCCTTAATATCCCCTCTCCTCCTCCATACCACCTGCCTCACCACCTTTCTTGGATTCTTTTCTTTTTTAGAATGTAGGTTTGTATCTTTATAGTCCAGTGTTCATTGAACTTTCTACTCTCATGATTTCACATGTAACATGTTGTGTTGTTAGTCCCTCAGTCGTGTCCCAACTCTTTGCAACGCCATGGACTGTAGCCTGCCAGGCTCCTCTGTCCATGGAATTCTCCAGGCAAGAATACCGCAGTGGGTACCCATTCCTTTCTCCAGGGGATCTTCCCAACCCAGGGATTGAACCCAGGTCTTCATTGCAGGCAGACTCTTTACCATCTGATCCACAAGCCCCAACACGGGTTTCCCATTGTGAGTGGGACACATTGGAAATGTCCAGTGGACAACGAGATTACCAGATATGAGAGACAGTGATTTTTATATGTATCAATATAATCACTGTCTCTCATACTTGGTAATCTGGTTCTCCACTGGACATTTCCAGTGTCCCAGTGGGACACTTCAAACACATCTCTCACAGATGTGTGTACTTCTAACAATATTTTTAAAACTGAAAAATATTCTTCTTTGGACATATTTCTCCTCCTTCATTCTGTTTCTTTCTGTTTACTGTGTCATCCAAGCTAGAAATGGAGATGTCACTCTTGACTGCTCTTCTGTGCTTTTCTCTCACATGCAGTGAACTGCCAAAATCTCTTTTCCTCTTCTCCTCCCTATTATCACTCTCTTGGGTCAAGCTCCTGATCTCACCTGGAGTACTGCAACATCTTGATAACCAGTTTTTTAGCCTAGTTTTGTTGTTATCCTTGTCAAATATATCTTCCAAACAGCTGTCAAAGCCATCTCCAATGCAGATCTATCTGTTACTCCCTGGCTGAAACATGCTTGATGTTCAGGCCCTCTGTGACCTGTCCCTTGCCTAGTTTACTAATCACATTGCTCCCCACTGTTCACCACAGCCTTCGTGTGACAGTATTACTGCTTATAATTCTCCAAATATGCTCTGCTTGTCCCCATCTCTGTATTTTCTTAAAGAATCCCTAAACCTAAAGTCAAAAGTTTGCCACACTGTGTCGTTAGAACTTCTTACTTCCCCTTTAAAACTCCATTGGGGTTAACCATTTCCTGATATGTTTTCCTTTTCCTATCTTTATGTGTAAAATCTTTAGAGCAGTGCTTATGATATAAATAATGCTATAAGCATGTTGGCTCTAAATATTTTACCATACTCATATTTTGATTTCACTTTTGAGTTCGTTTTCTCTAACATCAGTAGAACCTAGCAGTGACTGAATGATGGCTGTATAGTATTCCATCAAGTTGGTACATTGTATTTCAGTTGTCCTCTTATAAGGCAGTTCTAAGTTTGTGAACTTGAAGATATCTTGTTTTAGGTTTTCTTGTATTTGGGAACATTTCTTTGGCATAAGAGTTGCATAACTGAAACCGGAGTGCAAGTAATTTTTGTGACTGTTTTATATACAGGTGTATATTTGAACAAAAAGATAAATCTTTATGTCTGATAATGTACCTTTTTTCTGCAGTCTTATTAATCACATTAAGTACTTCTCCCACTAATTTAACTCATGATTTGCAATCCATTTTTTTGGGTCTTGATTTATGATTTTTTTTAAGCCCCTGAACATTTTTAAAATTCAACTGAAAGTCATTTTTTCATACATAATAAATTGTTCTTCGCCATTGCTGTGTGCATAACAACTGTAAAATTAAAAAAATATTTTCTTTGCTATTGTTTCTTCCCCATTCTGATGCTTATTTGATACATCAGAGCCTTCAGAAAATGTTTGTTTTTGATCTCTTGTTAATGAAATTGCAATATTTTTTGTTCCCAACCTATCTGAAGAAGATGGTATATTTTGCTCATTACCAACACATTATATTTGCTTATTTATTATTCTCTCTGGAAAGATGTATCATTTATGTGTATATTCTACAGATGACCCTTGAACAAGTTTTGAACTGCGTGGGTCCACTTATACTTGGATTTTTAAAAAAATACTCTAGTACTACATTGATCTGCAGTTGGTTGAAAACAAGGATGTGAACCTTCTGGTTATGGAGGATGTGGAGCACTGTGGATGTGGAGCACTGACTAAAAGTTATACCCAGATCATTTACTTTGCATAGGGTGGAAAGTAACCCCTGTGTTGTTCAAGGGTTAACTTTAATTTCCCTTGGCAGTACTATTTCATCAGTATATATTTCTGGATAATTAAATAGCAGTAAACAAAATGGTCTAACTATAAGATAATGATACCTTACATGTGACAATATAACTGAATTCCTGCTTACCTTGACAGTAGGTTTGTGTTCAGTTCAGTTCAGTTGCTCAGTCGTGTCCGACTCTTTGCGACCCCATGAACTGCAGCATGCCAGGCCTTCCTGTCCATCACCAACTCCTGGAGTTCACCCAAACTCATGTCCATTGAGTTGGTGATGCCATCCAGCCATCTCATCCTCTGTTGTCCCCTTCTCCTCCTGCCTTCAATGTTTCCCGGGCATCAGGGTCTTTTCAAATGAGTCAGCTCTTCACATCAGGTGGCCAAAGTATTGGAGTTTCAGCTTCAACATCAATCCTTCCAATGAACACCCAGGACTGATCTCTTTTAGGATGGACTGGTTGGATCTCCTTGCAGTCCAAGGGACTCTCAAGAGTCCTCTCCAACACCACAGTTCAAAAGCATCAATTCTTTGGTGCTCAGCTTTCTTTATAGTCCAGCTCTCACATCCATACATGACCACTGGAAAAACCATAGCCTTGACTTGACGAGGTTTGTTAATACCTGTTAATACTTTCAGGAATCTCTTTCTTTTTTTTTTAAATTTTGGGAAAGGGATTGGCCTTCATAGAAATTTCCTATAAACTAAGTTGACAGGGTATTTATTCTTTGATTCAGGCAGTTCTCATGAAAGTAGCTCAAAGAAAAAGAATCTTCCTTGATACCCTTTCAGGCACATTTACCTTTCTACTGCTTTCTGCACCAACCATGAAAATGACTCTGTGCCTTTAATGATGCAATTTCCTCTACTTGTGTCCTTCGTTTCCTCTGACAGGTAGCTCATATATTCCTTGAAATCCAGCTGAAGTTATTATTTTGTGTATAATTTATTTTATTTACATGGTTTAGTTCCTCTTATCTTTGAAATGGGGATAATAGTAGCTACCTCAGAGTTGAAGTTGGAATCAATTACTTAGATACCCAAAAGTACTTAGCTCTTGGCACCTGATTAGTACTCAGTGAATGTTAGCTGTTGCTGCCCTTATTGTTGTTTTTGTGTCAGACTCCATTAAACTATGAGTTCCTAGAAGACCAAACTGGGTTTTTTTTAATGGATAGATAGCTGGGATATTTAAGAAGAATCTTCATGTTAAATAAACAAACAGTTCATTGCTTAGTCTGCATCATTAATTTAATGTTTTTCATTAGCGTTTTAAAATACAGTTAAATACTTCACATTGAATCTTTTAAAATATTTCAGAATGAAGATTTACTAAATGAAATAAAACAACTTAAAGAGGAACTAAAGAAAAAAGATGAAAAAATCCAACTATTAGAACATCAGCTTGTAAGTATTATAGTGTTGTATGTAAAGTGATGCCTTTTCAAACTGGGCAATATATATATTTTCTATAAAACTAGCCAGAATTGAAATTGGACTTTATTTTTTGGCTTTTAAAACTGTACTATTGTATTGATGTTAGGTTATATGCATTCTATAAAAGTATGTGGTTTAACTTTCAGTCTAAATAATTTTTCAAAGTGAAAAACTCAATCCATTTTCAGTCGTGTCTGTTTTGGAGATTTGAAATTCACCAAGTTGCCTTCACGTTACTGAGGAATGAAACTGGGTATTCAGTCTTAGAAATCTGAATGGCTGTCTTGTTAGAAGAAGGTTATTCTAAAGAAATGTTTCCCCATGGATAATGTTCTGTGATTTCTCAGAGCCATATGATTCTTTATAATTTTATAATCGTTACAATGTCAGATATTAGTTGCATATGAAAACTGTATGTGCTGTGTGTTGAATTTAATTATAATTTAGTTTGTAATAATAAAAGGCCAGGATAATAAGAACATAATGGCATAACAACCACAGTAGGCCAAAGCTTTCTTGGAAGTTAAAAACTTACATTGGCAAAGCAAAGTAATTCGGCAATATGAAATAGTAATTTCACTCAGAATATAAAATTTATCAAACATACTGAACTTTGAGCCATTAGGGTCAAATCAGAGATCCAGCTTATGAATAAATAGTAAGGAATGATGCAGCTCTCTCCTGGTACTCCAGCCTGGCCAAAACCCAGGATGCCTGGCCTCAGGACCTAATAAAGCTCAGGCTCTGATGTCTCATTGCAAAAATTCAGTGAGAGACAAAGCAATAAGTCAGAGGTGGATTTGTTAGGATTCAGGGAGAAGCTACACTCTTCAGGGTGTAGGCCATTGCCGTACGCAAGGGCTCCGGCCATGGAATGAGCCCTGGCTAGGTTTCACTGTGGGGTGAATTCATAGGCTGATGAGGGGGAGGATCATCCCAACTGTTGGGGAACCACCCAGTCCTCCATCTTTTGACAGTGCCTTGACTTCCCTGGTGGCTCAGACAGTAAAACGTCTGCCTGTAGTGTGGAAGACCTGGTTTCAGTCCTTGGGTGGGGAAGATCCCCTGGAGAAGGAAATGGCAACCCACTCCAGTATTCTTGCCTGGAAAATCCCATGGACGGAGGAGCCTGGCGGACTACAGTCCATGGGGTTGCAAAGAGTCAGACACGACTGAGTGACTTCACTTTCACTTTTCACTTTCATAGATGGATCAGATGTTATGATTAAGGGTATCAGAGGAATGTAATGAACCTGAAAAAAAAAGAATAACCCAATACTGCAAATTGAGGGCCTACCAAGGATAAAATTTAAAAGGACAAGAGTAAGACTAGTTTTTGTATTTCAAAACTAAAGACAGAGAACAAGATGGTGGAGCAGTAGGTGGACGTGGAGTACATCTCTCTCCACGGATACATCAGGAATACACATTCAGACACAGAAGTGCATGCAGAACACCAACTGGGAGTGAACAGGAGTAGCTGACAAGAGGAAAAGAACATATAGAACCATGCAAAACTTGGTAGGACAAAGGAACTAGGGGAAAATGCAGAAGTGTTAGGACTGGACCTGCCCTCAGCAGGTAGGGGAACTAAAACAGAAATCTGATCCCCACATCGGGGCAGTTGTCTGAGTTGGAGGAGAAACATTTAAGACTGCGAGTGAAACAGCTGATCTCTGGCAGCCTCAATGGAATGAGAATCAGATAGTCCTTGCCAGAGCTGTACATACCCTGGACAGGGACTCAGGTCCCCTGGAAGGTGTGGTGGCTGGGAGCTGGAGTTTAGGGATTGTGAAGCAATCCCAGGGCGAGGGCTGCTGATGACTCTGGAGAGTTGAATCAAGGGGATGTGAGGGAGGAGATTGTGGTGGGAAATACCTGTGGAGGAAAGCCAAGCAGCCATGGAAGCAAGGCGATTGTGCTGAGTCATGCATAGGATATGGAGCCATCACCATAGCCTTTTTCTCCCTACAAGCCAGCATTGGCAGCTGAACGGTAGAGAGGCTGGCCCATCAAACGCCTGATGCACTGAACTACAGAGCAAGACCCCACCCAGGGTGCCCCTTTAAGTACCTGATGCGCCAATCTACAGACTCGGACCCCAGCCAGGGGGACCCCTCTGTGTCCCTGACCCATGGAACAACAGAGAAGGACCTCAGGCAAGGGAGCCCTCGGAGTGCCTGAGTGGGTGGAGCTACGGAGGCCTTCTGATTGCCAGCTACAAGAGGTTTGAAAAAAGACTGATAGGGCCATAACTCCTGCAGTGGAGGCAGTCTGTGTCCCTGCACACGTGGTACCACCAGAGTCCCCAGAAGCCAAACAGCTGCGCCACCTTCATGCTCAACTGTCACTGGGGCAGAACTGCCACAGGCAAAAAAAGTCTTGCATCTATGCATGCAGGGTCATTTTGGTAGTGTCTGACTCTTTGCAACCCTGTAGACCTTGGCCTTCCAGGCTTCTTTGTCAGGGAAAGAGTTTCTCCAGGCAAGAATACTGGAGCATATTGGCCAATATTGGTTGCCGTACCCTTCTAGAGCACTGTATTTCCTGCTGCCCTAGCTGCCAACTCCCCTGAATGCCTGGTGTTGCCAGAACCTCTGCGACGCAAGCAGCTGGACCGCCTCCACACCTGGTCCTCGCAGGGGCAAACCCAAGTCCTCCAGGGCAGCCTTAGGAGCAAACTGCAGTGGACAACCACATGCGGAGGTGGAAATAAAACAATTGAAACCCAGGGGCAGTGTGGCTAAGGAAAAAGATCCAAGACGTTTCCACCAGCTATACAAGCTGCAGATTAAATCCACATGATCAACTAGGCAGACTCTCTGCCTATGGAATATATAAAAGATCATTGAGAGCTCCCACAAGAGAAAACGCAGTAGTTCTGATAGCTGTGGACTTTGGAAGCAATAACACACAGGAGTAGGACCAGATTAGAACCTGAGCTGCCCCTACAGCAGGTCCAGAGATCAGCACAGTGTTGGAAGGCATCCTAGGGAGGTGAGGTAGACTATGACTCCCAGCGAGGGAAAGGACGTTGACAGCAGTGAGTCAAGAAAAAGGTTTGTTATTCTTATGTTTTGACTTGTCCTGTAGATTCTTTTGGATTGTTTTTTTTTTTTTTGTTCCTCTCTTTCCCCCTCCATTGTAGTTGTTGATTTTATTGGCACTATGAAATCCATTTAAGCTTTTGATCTTTTTTTTCTTCCCAGTCACATTTTTATTGTTGTTATAAACCTCTGCTTTTTTGTTGGTGGGCTTTTACAGTTCTGTGGCGTTTTCCTTTTTTTTAAAATTTTTTCTTTTTTTAATTTTAATTTTTTAAACCGATTATTTTTTTACATTTATTCCTTTGTTTGCTTTTCCTATTGTTCTTTTCCCCTTGCAGTCAATCTTTAAAACATATATAAATCTTTATCTACTTGTATTTAACTTTGCATATCTATTCTTTCTTTCCTTTCCTCTCAGCATATTTGTTAGTTTTATTTTCATTGTTTTATTCCCCAGTTGGCACCTTGCTTTAGTTTTGTTTTTAGTTTGTGCTTTAGGTAGTTTTATTCTTTTTTTTCTTTTTCATTTATTTATTTATTTATTTTTTTTCATTTATTTTTATTAGTTGGAGGCTAATTACTTTACAGTATTGTAGTGGGTTTTGTCATACATTGACATGAATCAGCCATGGAGTTACATGTATTCCCCATCCCGATCCCCCCTCCCACCTCCCTGGTAGTTTTGTTCTTAACTGGTTAATATAATTTTTGGTTTCCTTTGTTTGCCAGGCCAATCTGTTCTACTTTATTTTTGTTGGACTGTTTCGATTTTGCTTATGATTGTATATGTATATATTCAGTCACACATTTTATTGTTGTTATAAACCTCTGCCTCTGTGTTGGGCTTTTGAAGTTCTGTGGAGTTTTCCTTTTTTCTTTCTTCTCCATTTTTCTTTTTTTTTTAAATAATTTTAATTTTTTTAAACCTATATTGTTTCTACATTTATTGCTTTATTTGCCTTTCCTACTGTTCTTTTCTCCTTACAATTAATCTTTAATGTATATAAATCTTCTTCATCTACTCCTACTTAAGTTTGCATATCTATTCTTTCTTTTCTTTCCTCTCAATATATTTGTTAGTTTTGTTTTCATTGCTTTATTCCCAACTTGGCACCTTGCTTTAGTTTTGCTTTCCAGTTCGTGCTTTAGTTTTGTTCTTAACTGGTTAATATAATTTTTGATTTCCTTTGTTTGCTGGGTCATTTTACTGTACTTTATTTTTGTTGGACTGTTTTGACTTTGCACATGGGTGTATATGTATATGTGTGTATTCCATTATTTTAATTATTATTTCTCTGATTTTGTAACTGCCATTTGTCTGGAGTTCATCTTTGGTTTCTCATTTTTGGACATTTGTTCTAATCTCACTTAATACCATAACAGACCACTTTGGAATCTTCGTTCCTGACCAAAGATCAAGCCTTGAGCCTTTGCAGTGGGAGTACTGACTCCCAAGACCCTAGACTACCAGAGAACTAACCCTGCTGCTAAGTCACTTCAGTCATGTCAGACTCTGTGTGACCCCATAGACGGCAGCTCACCAGGCTCCCCCGTCCCTGGGATTCTCCAGGCAAGAATACTGGAATGGGTTGCCATTTCCTTCTCCAGTGCATGAAAGTGAAAAATGAAAGTGAAGTTGCTTAGCTGTATCTGACTCTTAGCGACCCCATGGACTGCAGCCTACCAGGCTCCTCCGTCCATGGGATTTTCTGCAAGAGTACTGGAGTGGGGTGCCATTGCCTTCTCTGGAGAACTAACCATAGGGAGTATCAAATATTGAGAACTCACACAAAGGAAACCACTTGAATACAAGACCCAACATCACCCAACCACCAGTAGCACCTTGTACAGGATGCCTCATCTAAACTACAAACAAAACAAAAATACAAACCCAATCATCAGCAGATAGGATTACCACCTCAC